CACATATAGCAAACTTGTCATTGTTCCAATAAGTGTCCTATGAAGGGGAATATTAATAATCTTCAGTTAAATGAAGATGTTAAATTTGAACTTCTCAATTTATTTAATTCAAGCTCAGATGAAGAATCTGACTATAAAAGTGAAAGAAGATTCTGATGTTGAAACAAGTTCAAAATCTTTCTCTACTTCAAGTTAAAGTAAAGAAGTTTGTGGTTGGAAAACCATATATGTTCTTACAACAGAAGAAGAGCCTATTGAAGAAATAGTTGAGAAGATTGAAAATCCAACTAGAGAAAAATTCTTCTCTTCTACCTTCAAAATTTGTTGTAACGCCATTAATATAAAGAATATATTAAATCGGTTTAATACTGAATCCAATACTTCAAGGGCTTCTAGTTTTGACCTAAGATCAGAAGTCAATGGGATGAAATCTCAAATTTCAAATTTCTATTTTCGAAAATCAGAGGTTCAAATGGAAGCTATATTCTTGAAAGCTAAAAATTTAGAGCAAGAATAAATTCCAAATCATGAGAAATCTTCCTCCTCTTCTTTAGAAGATGATACTTCTCAATCTACTCATTAACTTGAAGAAGAAAAGATCAATGATATCAATCATATTCAACTTCAGATATGGTATTGTACCATGACGATTGTTGTCAATAAAGAATTCAAATTCACCTCCATAATTTGAATTGATTTAGAAGCTAATCAAATTGCATTCGAGAATGGTTAATCCATACGAAATATTTTGAAAAAACTATTGAGTGTCTTTATGGTGCTACCGGTAAAAAGCTTAATATTCATTATAAACTTTTCAAAATTACATGTTTACCTAATATTTGTTTCAAAAATATTTTTTATTTAGTTAAAGATTTGGATCAAGAAGTTATTCTTGATACTCATTTTATTCTTCAAATATATCATTTTCAAGCAAACTCAAAATGATTAAAAACTACAATATTTGGCTAAAAATTATGTTTTAAAGTTATAAATCTTCCTTCTTATAAAGATGTTAATTCTTTAAAAGAAGCCTCTATGTCAAAGATAGTTAACAATATTAATTTCAAGAAAAATCATATTCAATTTCTTAAAAAAAAAAGAAATTAAATTTCAAAAAATTAAGGAACGATTACAAAATTCTTCAATAAAAGAAAATAATTTCAAGCTTTCAAAAACAAATTGAAAATGAAATATGCACTACTATTCCTCATGCTTTTTGGAATAGAAAGAAACATATTATTTCTCTTCCCAATGCTTATGATTTTTATGAGTTTACGATTCCTGTAAAATC